AACAGCGGTAATTAAAGTCTCAAATGCTACAACTGTCACAAACTGGATGAATGTGAAGTATTTTGTTAAAGGAGGATGAAAGCGTAATTAAGGAGCACTATTGGAGTGACTTTGATGGTTATTGGCCTCAGGATTCATTCATTTGGATTCCCGCTGTATGAAGAAATTAAAGGACGGAAAACAATGGAAGTGGAAACAATTCACAAAGGGATTAAACTGTTCAACACATGCTCAAAGTAAACCGGATTTTGCCGATGTGTTTGTGGATTCAAAAGTCTTAAATAATCTACAAAATGGAGGAGACCAATCTGATTGGAGCAACTGTGACAAACTGAAACCGACATCGACAATGACTTAAAAATGCGCTTATCCAGAAAAGCCTGGTTTGGAAACTTTACGGGCAGAAGAAACATTTCTAAGAAAGAATTATACATTTGTCTTTTTATGCCAATAGCTACTAACTTGAATTCTTATTAAAATTAATCAATTGTTTATATTGTAATTTAGAGACAAGGATTTTAGTGAAAATCATGTATTGCGTTACAATTATATGTAAAAAAAAAAAAAGTCTAAATATGATATTTGGCCTCAAATCATCTGAGGCCTGGTGCCCCCCAGGTTGGGAACCACCGCTCTAGGAGATTCAGGTGATAAGTTGGGCAGGCTTTACCTTGGATGGTTATTGGCTAATTGTCAAACAACCCAAAAAGTAATTGTAACATCACAGTTACCAAAATCTGGACTTTCCGAACCTCTTAACACAGAGGGGAAACGTATTTATGTATAAAAGACATGACAAAGTGGATTTTGCCTCATGGGTGATCTTTAAATAACATTGACAGTAGTTGTTGATATGCATCACGATAATGCTTCATAACCCCTTCTTGGACATTTGTACTGGAAAAATAAAACACTAAGAAACAAAGTGTTGGCCAATCTGTCTTTATTGAATGTCAAAGGTTAAATTGTGTTTGTGTATGATGTTGAATTGCTTCGGTCACTGTGTAGACGACACCACACTTCAGACCTCTTCATCTAGAATAAGAGAAAATAAAACAGTTTAATATCATTAAACAAAACATACCAGCTATTGTACTAAAACAGGTTTATTTTAGTCCAAGTAGATTTTATAGATACAAAACAAATATGGCTAGGGGCAGATTAATGAATTAAATAAAAATGTTCCCTTCTACACAATCTAAATAATAGGTTTATGACCGAAGGATGGAACAATTTTAACAACTACATTGGGTTACATTTTTCAAATACATTTAGCATTTGACTTCAGAATTACAATCCATCAGCCTGCTGCAGCTCAAACTGTAAAATAAACTACTTAACATGAGACATTAATGTAGCAATAACAACTAAATCTCACCTTCTTCCTCCTCATCCTCTTCATCTTCCTCCTCCTCCTCCTCCTCATCAGAGCTGAAGGTTCCGTCCGGCAGGCTGTACACCCGAATCACTTGCTGTTAACAGAAGAAAAACAGAATATCGACCCATTAGCTCAACAGTTCACGATCATTTTAAAAACCAGGATGTTTTTATGAATCTTTGAGATGTAGCTCACCTTGTTGGGGTCCTTGAGGATGAGGTACTTGCCCTCGTCCAGCTTGCGGCAGATATCGATGACGCAGCGCAGGATACCCCAGGCGTTCTCCATGCTCAGATTAATCTGGCTGGCAAACTCGTTGGGCTTGAACTGCTGCGTTCCCAGCACCACGTGACGGGCCGAGTCCTTAGCGTGGTACCGAGACACGTACCTGAAGGACAGAGAGGGTCAGTCAGTGCACGCTCTCACACACTATGGTCTGCTGAAGCTTGGGCTTATTGTCTCTATATAGTTAACTGAATCCTATTTTAAGACATTAGTTTGTATCATAGACGCAAAGCACAGGTATAGTGGTTTGTTTCAGGCAGTGTTTTTCGGATTTAATAAGAATAAAACATACAAATAAATGATGCTCTTCATTTATTTGCGAAATGTGTTTCCGTTGCACTATGTCACATTGCTTTCATCCGCACTCCGACCTTTCCTACTCAGCTTAGCGCAATAAAAACATTTTTGATAGTTCAAGATTAGAACATTTTTGTATGTGCAGTGTTCATAAGAGGCAAGAGGAAGGATATGCATAAAGACTCCTCCATATATTCAGTATGATAGAATGGTGTGTGTTCCTCACCCCAGTTTGAGGTACTCGGACCCGGCCAGCATGGCGCAGCAGGTCCAGCGGGCCAGCTTGTAACTGTTGTTCTTCAGCTCAGTGGCCAGCACGGCTCCCCTCTGAGAGTCCAGCTTCTGACGCCAGTCCACCCCGTTACAGCTCTGAGGACGAGACGGAGCAGATACATCAGCAACAATTCAACTGACATTAATGCTTGATACTCTTGCTTCAAAGGATGAGTCAGGATTTGATTTCTTAACACAAGTTTTGGAAGTATTTTTTATTATAACAGGGTATATGCAGGAATCCTGAGGTCAAATTTAATACCTTTTAAGACCCTTTCCATACATTTTAAGACCTCATCGCAACTTTGAGTTCTAACCGGTTACATTGGCAACACACTTTACCTCACATTGACTATATTGATTGTAAGATAGCACAACTAAACAGAGTGCAGACAGACTACTGAAGCCTCCTCTCCACATGAACTTCAACCTCTCTGTGAAGGTCAGGTTTAATGCAGTATGCTGCTTTGTTGCTTCTGTAGTCTGTGCTCTTTCATTCCAGTAAAACTCCTCAGAAACCATTAGAAACCAGTATTTGACCAATAAACAAAACAATTGACAAAACTTTGAACTATGAAATATATTAAACTTTGGTGAGCTTCAGCGGGGTAATGCCATAGGAGCTCCCTCACAAATACCCAGGGGTTAAATTGGGCTGGGGCTGTCCGGGGCTAAGCCCTGGCACATAGGACGATGCTCTGACGTCATCACCCTCACACATTTGTCATATGTTTACAAAAAAGGATATATATGTTAAG